AAAAATTCAGATTAATCTTAGTTTTGAAAGCACATTTTGAATTATATAATCATCAATGTATTGATTCATTGCCTTTTCAAAAGATTGTATTTTTATTCATATCTAGTAGTTGATAGTCAAGAAGAAAAGCTTCTCAGAAGTCTAGTTAAATTTTCTACTCTTCATACAATTCCTTCTACTGAAGACTGAAGGTACTTGAAAGGAAGTCTTCTTTATTCAAAAAAGTTGTTTTGGCTCCATGGAGCTTGGGATAGTAGTGTCAAAATTGAAGCAAAAATATAAGCAAACTGAAATGTAATATCAAGACAGATATTGTTATGCAACAGATTAACAAAAATAGAAGGAGAACAGAAAGTGATACTATATTTTCCATTCTTCACAAGGTTAAAAGGTCAAAGAAAGTAGATGTTTAGAGGAACTGGTAGAATCAATCATTGGTACTAACAATTAAATACAGTATTTATGTAAGCTACCTTATTAAATGACTCACAAATGTATGAATAGTCCATATTTTTTTTATTTATGTAAAGCTTCTACTACTCTAGACTTTAGAAGATGACACTCTTATGACAACAGGAATGGTGGAACCTACTCAACTTGATTGATATTGGAAAATCTAAGCAGTTCAGTATTTAGAAGAGTAGCAATATTCAGAATTGTAGCCTAAAGATGAAAAAAAAATCCCAAACAAAGAAAATGGCAGTCCGAGTCCACATAGTGAAGAAAAGTATATGGATGTGTTCCTATAGTTACTGGAAGTGAAGATTTATTTGAAGACTTATACTTATGATAATATTCCAATAATATTCTTAATTGGTAAAAATGAAATAATACATTTTAATAGCATAAACATAAACTTGAGACAGAAAATTTCCTCATGCATTAATATAATCCTTGTAAATGTATCTGGAAATAAGCACTGTTAATTTTCAGTTCCCTGTAAAACCCAAACATTGTCCTATGTATTTGCATGTCTTTGCAAAATTTCTCTGACTGTCCTGGTTGATGAGTTAATGTTACCTATTTTTGATTTTGTCAGGTTTTATGGTGATTCTGCCTAAAAGATACTGAGTATATTCTTTTTTGTTTTATTACTGAAACATTCTGCTGAATTCTTTTCAATGACTTTGAAATACAAAGAATTAAAATTTCTGTAATTATTATTTTATAAATAATATGGATATTTTAAAAACACTTTTTCTTGATTATTTTATTAATAAGACTTCTGAATGTTGTCAAGTTACATATGATTGACTGTAATTAAGAAGTATGTTTCAGAATTTTATTATGTATAATAGTTAAGAAAAAAATATCTTGGAAATAATTATGGTTTTCCACTTTAGATTCAGTAACTTCCTCCTAAAAACACAATTTGATTATGGGTAAACTACTACCTTAGATCAATAAGTAAGAAGTGAAAATAGGATAAATATGAAATGAATGAAGTTACTTCTTCAAGATCCCATTACTTTTCCATTAAAATCATATAATAAATAATGACATCCTTGTATTACATCTGTTACTTCATTTGACTAACAAAAGTTCTTTTCTTAATAATATGTCTCCTGCCTTATTTGTAAAAATATACAAGTCTATTTAGTGTTGGCAGTTCTGAAATCAGCTCTTTAAAAAAGTCATCAAATTATATATCACAGATCAGCTGCTAATGTGACTCAGAATTTCAATATATAGATAGCCCTTGTTTAACAACTTTCTCAGATAGAGACCATTTACAGTTATGATGGTAATGAAAACGTAACTTTGCAACCAATCCTTGTACATATAATCTTTGTAGGCTTCTAAAGCAAAGAAAAGATAAAGTAAGGTCATAAACACTGTCAGTTTCACTTAGTGACCACTTTGCTTAATGGTGCAGTTTGCTAGTGCAAATTCTGGTTGATAAACAAGGACTACTGGCATGTTCTTCTTTTCTGCATGCAATTTTTTATCATAAAATCGCAGAACTTGGTTATAAGATTTGAATGATTCATTTAGTTTGTGTAGCATAATAGCTTATTGAGATCTGTATAAATATACTATTAAAGCAGATGCTGAAAGAATTACCCTTGTCCAGATATAGAAAAATCTACTGTTTTTACTCATTTGAAAACTCTCATCATTTGTAATTTTTCTAATGCTTTAAAGGAGACTTGTTGAGATGGGCAGCTATAGAAATGAAAACAAATAAATAAATACAGTAGATTATATCTGCTGAGGATTTTAAAGTATTTTGAACTGCAGCATTTTCTGAGTTGAATTTAATTTAAAACATGAGCATTGCCTGGTGATTTTTATTTTTCAAGTTGCAAATTGACTCAGCTTTTTCCTAAAATGTATTTGCAACTGTTGGATGAATACCATCTGGTGTAGGCAACATCTTTTTATTTACTGCATCAATCTATTCCAAAATTTTGTCACGACTTCTCAGATAAGTCCTTTAACCTGTCACAAACTTATAAACTTATGAAATTCATTATTCGATCATATTGGCTACTTTCAGTTATTTAATTATGCATTTTAATTATGCACTCACTTTTTCCAGCATTAAAAAATAATTCCAAGGAAAATGTTCAATGTATATCTCAGTGCCAATCCAAATAGATTTTATCTATTTCATCAATTCTTTAAATAGTTCTAAAAAGCTGGTAAACATTCATTTTTTCATAATAAGTAGCTATGTATTTTTACCTAAATATATATTTTTCATTTTATTTTCTCCATTTACAGTATCTTACAAAGTTAATATTGCAATACTAAAATGTATTCTGCCTATAATCTGCAGGATTTTTTTTAAATATTCTCCATCTACCATGATGGGGTCAAAGCCATAGCCAAGTACTTTCCATAGTAGTCCATTGAGAAGAAGACAAAGAAAGGTATTTCTGTTTGATTCCATCACTGAAGCCAGAAGAAAAAATCATTTTTAAAATTATCCATGTAAACATGTAGATAGTTGTCTGTGTTTTTATCTGGAAATTCTGAGACTGACTTCTTAGTGAAGCACAAAACAGATTTCCTAATCAGATCCAGGCCTCAACCATATACAGATCATGTACATCAAACCATTATCATTATTGTTACCATCACCACAATTTTAATGAAATAAATTCAATAATTCCAAATCTTTTGACAATTAAATGTTTATTAAGTCAAATAAAATATATTTATCCCCTCCATTTCTTCCTCCTTTTAAAGAAATAATACATCAGCTGATTGATACTTCTTCAGTTTTATCAATTAAACTAATATGGCTAGTGTGCTGCATACCCAGTAGATTCTATCTTTGGGGGCTTTTCTTATTTAGTCTTTTTATTTAATTCAAAATGTAAATTTTAATGTTTTCTTTTTTGGTGTAATCTGACCAAGGAAAATTCTAAACTTGATTATGCTATGGACATTATTAGCCATTCTACTACAATTATCTTTTGTATAAAGTCTTGCTTTTACCCTTATAAGTGAAATAAAAATAGTTTTTTCATCTATCTCTATCTTTGCCTACCTATCTGTTTTCAATCTTTTCTCCACATTGTGCTATTAAGGCATTGATTTCTTCTCTTAATAAATATATTCTATAAAAATATCAGCTATGTATTTTTTAGGTTTAGTACTGAGTTGCAAGAACCAAAACCACCTTCCACCCCACAAAGTTGCTATTAATTTGTAATACAGGGTTTATTTCAATTCATTGGGAAATTACATGATGAATTCTAATGAAAATTAAGGCTTTGCAAATTTGGATGCTAGGTTGTCATTTTTGACACACTTTGTAAACTGAATAAAACAAACAAAGAAAATATGGTAGATCTGAGTTTAGGTTGTGGATATTAGCAACATGCCTCTAAAATAGCTGTTGAATGGAACATGCTTGGGATGGATCTTGATGTGAACAAGAAGTTGTCAACTCCATCTATATCCAAAATTTCAAATGTGCACCAGATGTTGTTCATGGGAATGTATGTTTTTTTTAATATGAAGATCTAGTAAGTAGTATCTAAATCTTAATAGTAATATAAAAATCGTCCATTCTCTCAACTATTCAATCTAAAAGAAAAGCTATATTTTACAATGGGATAATTTCAAGACAGAAATAAGGATGATTAAATAGATCAAATGAAGTACTCTAGTAGCAAGTGTATTGTTTGAAATTGCTGATATCACCTCTGCTGTCTTTCAGATTTTAATTTCCTTCAAAAAATTCCCTGAAATATTTGCAGTAGTTGAGTAATATTAAATAAATGTTTTGCTGATGAATGGTGACTTCTTCTGTTCCAATGATATAGATTTTAATAATCACTGAATATATTTCTAATGAAAGGAAAAATTCCAGTCTTGCAATATAAAAATGGGTTGATAAACATAGCAATATATCATCTTCATTCAACATATTTTACCTAGCTCATAATGTGAAGCATATAAAGAAATAACTTTCCCAAGCTATGCAACATCTTCTCTGTTGCCTACATAAACATTACCATATGGATAAAGATCATAAAAATTCAGAAAACATCAAAATAGAAAATTCAAATTCATTGAAGTATGATCAAGGAAACAAAAAAAAAAAAATAGTGGAGTAGAAGGAAAGTATAACTTCCCGTAAGATGTCCTCTAAACATTGCTCCACAGTACAAACATTATGATGCTGAATAAATTTCAATGAAGAGCACCACAAACTAATAATGTGCAGAAATGATGAGGTTGCTAATTGTTTACTTAAGATCGTGTATAGTAAGGCAGAACTTCTAAAAAACAAGCTAGGCATTTTTGTTTAAAAAAATAAATTCATCTTCAACAGTGTCCTAGAAGTAGAAAGCTTAAAATGCCACAACTGTTTTTTTAAAAAATCAATGCTATATGGACAGTAATTATGAGGGTGAAGAATTTCAGAAGAATGTTTTTTTTTTCTCCCATTGTCTTTATCTATTCCTAGCAAGCATATTGGAAATGATGTTTTACTCCTACAAAAGGAACACTTTCTAGCATCCTTTGTGAACAGTACTTACTCAAATATGGTGGTTTGTAAGGCGCTCGTGTATTAGACAGCAGTCCATCCAGTTCCTTCCTCTCCAGGGTGCTGTGAAGGGCCTTCTCTTTGCCAAAGGTGGAGAAAGATCTCTCTGCCCCTGGCTGGGCTTCTGGTGTTTCAAACACTTCGGTGTCTGGAACAGAGTCCATTCCAGGTACATGAAGATTGCTGCGGTAATCCGCAGCCTGCCGTCCATCAGAAGGAACAAAAGAGGGCATCCAACACCGATCTGAGTGACCCAATGCTTTACATTCCTCTGTGCAATTAGAGAAGAGATCCATGCCTATAAGCAGGAAAGAGAAAAACTGCAGATATAACCTTTAGTGTCATCACCTGCTGAAGGCATGGTGATAAAAAAGATACTTTCTATTCTATTATCATCTTACCAGTGAAGAATTTGATTAAGTCTTCAAAGAAGCTTCATTATTCAAAAAAGAAAAAGAAAGAAAAAAGATAAGAAGTGCAAGAATGTTCCACAACTGGCCAAATAATCATAAGATGACAATGGGGGTCACTGTTATTTAAAAAATTCTTGGTTCCTGCTTTGTTAAACCTTCTAGGGACAAGTCCCATTTTCCGAAGGTGAAGGTTTCAGCTTAATGACCATTAATAGACTACATAGGTCTAATATCTATGCAAAAGTGTGACATATAAAAAATACCGATGGTGGGGGGGAAATGTTGAGAAAGTTCCTGAAAATTTCAACAAATTAGGCCACTGGTTTTTTT